AGTAGAGGGACAAGCAGACTCCCCACTGTACATGACTTGGGGTTTAATCCCAGGACTCTGAGATCATGACCTAAGCCAAAGTCAGATGCTCAACCGACTGAGCCACCTGGCATCCCTCAACTCTTTTTCTGTTGATAACCTCTACACCATTCTTGACAAACCCCTGCCAGATATCTGCAGCTAGAACATAATCTAATGGTGCTGGGTATACATGAGAACATCTTCCCTCAATGGAGTGGCCCAAACTGCCTTTCAGTCTTAGGTCACCTAAGAAGGCCTTCTGTGGTGGACCAGACTTCCATTAACTCACTCAATAAATATATATTGATCAGGCACTGTTCTAGGCACTGGGAGTGGAACAGATAGAAAACACCCCTGCTTTCATGGAGCTAACATTATAGTGGGAGAAACATAAAAATAGAGGTAAATAATATACAACAGAATAATTTCAGATAATTAAGTATCATGTGTAGGGAGGGGGCAGGGTGGCTAATTCTGATGAAATGGACAAGAAAGGTCTCACTGAGGAGGTAATATCTGAAGTGAGACTTACTAAGTAATAGCCAACACTTAATGAACACTTACATTAAATGAGACACTTTACGTGTATATTATTCAATTTTTATAACACCAAGACGTACTTACTTTTTTTTATTAACATATAATGTATTATTTGTTTCAGGGGTACAGGTCTGTGATTCATCAGTCTTACACAAGTCACAGCGCTCACCATAGCACATACCCTCCCCAATGTCCATCACCCAGCCACCCCATCTCTCCCACCGCCCCCCCCAACTCCAGCAACCTGCAGTTTGTTTCCTGAGATTAAGAGTCTCTTATGGTTTGTCTCCCTCTCTGGTTTCGTCTTGTTTCATTTTTCCCTCCTTTCCTCTATGATCCTGTATTGTTTCTCAAATTCCATGTATTAAGACATATTTACTTTTATCATCCCATATTTTACAGTTGAAGAAATGAAGGCACTAAGAAGTCACATAACTTGAAAACAGGCAACTGGGTTTGAGAACCTGTGCCCCTAAACACTAACACAATCTGGCACTACCGGAATTTGATAAGCAGCAGCTAGCCATGCAGAGGAAGTAAGTTCAAAGGCCAGGAGGTGGGAACGAGCTTGGCATCTTCAAGGAAAGACCAGCATGGGCAGAGAGCACAGTGGGAGGGGAGAACTATATTCTTAAAAAAAACTGGATGACACTGGGAGGTTTTTTAAGTAATAAAATGATATGATATGAAGTATATTTTTAAAAGATCACTTTGGCAGCTGTGTAGAAAACCTTAGCCTGGGGGCGCCTGGATGGTGCAGTAGGTTAAGCACCCGACTCTTGGTTTCGGCTCAGGTTGTGATCTTAGGGTCCTGAGATCAAGGCCCACATGGGGCTCCACACTCAGCTTAGAGTCTGCTTGGGATTCTCTCTCCCTCTCCATCTGCCCCTCTTCCCCCACAGGCATGCATGCTCTCTCTCTCAAATAAATAAATCTTTAAAAAGAAAAAAAAAATCTTAGCCTACTGCCTGACTTTGAGTGTGGTATATAATTTACCATTTTGCTGGGCCCCCTAGTAATTATCGCAATAATGTTGTTTTTGGGAAAAGTTATGACATGTGATCTTAATACATCATATTGCTGAGTTTGGTGATACGACCTTGAGCATATCACTCTGAATAAAAATTAAATTGTCATCCTGTCCTGTTATCTTAAAGGGTCTTATGGGAAGTTATTCTGAAAAGTACAAAGAGTTTAACTATAAGGTGGTATTTTATTGAAAACATTTAACAGAAATTTGACAATTTGCCTTAATGCCTAACCCAAATTCCCCCTTCACCACAAAAAGGCTGCTTGAAATTGAAAGCACTACTTTGACAAGGTGACTTGTTACATTCCTTGAACTATATTCATGCCCACAAACACTATAGCTTTCCTTACAATTCCTAATCCCACCTCTATGGTATTCAAATGCACTCCAATCTTTAAATGTGGAATTATATTTTAGAGATTCCTTCTCTAAAAGAAGTAATGATGGATGTTTAGAAGTCTACAAGCTACATATAAAAGACCAGAATATATTTAAATATGATCTAAACGTATTTTGTGCAGTCTCCTCCAACATCATGTAATTCATCATGAGATAAGCCAGGAATGTTTTTTTTCAAGTTAGGAATTCTTTGGTCACTTCCACACTTGCAACAAAAACATACTCCAATAAGCCAGGACAACCTGAAACGTTGCCAGGCCACAATACAGAAAACTGCTGTAGTTATCCTGCTCAGGTATGAATAATATGAAAAAAAAACTACAGTTAACTGTTGAACAACACAGGGGGTTGGGGTGCCATCCCCTACACAGTTGAAAATCTGCACAAAACTTCTGAATTTCCAAAAACTCAACTACTAAACAGCCTCCTGTTAATCAGAAGCCTTCCTGTTAACATAAGCAGTTGATAAACACGTATTTTATATACTATATTTTACATCCTGTATTCTTACAATAAAGTAAATTATAGAGGGGCGCCTGGGTGGATCAGATGGTTAAGGATCTGCCTTCAGCTCAGGTCATGATCCCAGAGTCCTGGGATCAAGCCCTGCATTGGGCTCCCTGCTCGGCGGGAAGCCTGCTTCTCCCTCTCCCACTCCCCCTGCTTGTGGTTCCCTCTCTTGCTGTGTCTCTGTCAAATAAATAAATCTTTAAAAAAAAAAAAAGTAAGTTATAGAAAATGTTATGAATAAGGAAAATACAGAACTGTACTGTATTTATCAAAAAAAATCCACATGTAAGTGGACTCGCACAGTTCAAATCTGTGCTGTTCAAGGGTCAACTATAGTTATTCCTGAACATACTAACTTTGGAATGAAAAACTTGTTGAGACAAACCTCACCTAGGATGAAGACACGCAGCAATTGGGGGAAAGGGAAGACATTTACAGTATTGTGCTTTGTTTCCACACTACAATAGAGTGTTTGAAGAGAAGCCCTATTTTCCAGTGCCAGGGCCTCATATCCTTAGGTTTCCCAATGTGCTCTCCCCCTATGTATCAATATGCTCCCTTCTTTATAAAAGGAGCCATGAACATTTTCCTGAACACTTTACCAAATATTTTTAAAAGATTTTATTTATTTATTTGTTTACTGAGAGTGCGAGAGTGAGCGTGCAAGTCGGGGGAGGGGAAGAAGAAGGAGGAGAGAGCAGACCCTGAGCTGGGCGCAGAGCCCAACACGGGGCTCAATCTCACAACCCTAAGGTCATGACCTGAGCTGAAACCAAGAGTGGGATGCTACACCGACTGAGCCACCCAGGCACCTCCAAATATTTTTTAACACTGGAATTAAAATATCTTGCCACAGAAAAGAAAAAAATCCAGAAACTGCTGCAACCAGGAAAATCCAAACACAGCAACCCTCACTCTGAGAAATGTATACTTAAGACTAGCATGTCATGGGTCAAGCAGAAAAGGCCAGGCTACAGCTCCTAGGCACATACTGGTGCCAAATGAGGGACCCTTAGGACAATGCACATACCTATGAAAGCAGCTTAGAACTCAAATACCGAGGTTTATCACCAGCATATTCATCAATTATTTTTTTTTTGTTAAGATTTTATTTATTTATTTGACAGAGAGAGATACAGCAAGAGAGAGAGCACAAGCAGGGGGAGCAGGAGAGGGAGAAGGAGACTCCCCACTGAGCAGGGAGCCCGATGCAGGGCTCGATCCCAGGACCCTGGGATCATGACCTGAGCCAAAGGCAGACACCCAACGACTGAGCCACCCAGGCGCCCCATCAATTATTTTTCTGAATAATTATAAAAGCAACCTTATTAATTAAATGAATCTACTCTGGCAAGATCCGTTACTATTCAAAAGCACTGCCTCATTACATTACATTCATGGTATATGGTGCAGATAATGTGTTTAAAAATGACTTTTTAGGGGCACCTGGGTGGCTTAGTCAGTTAAGTGTCCGACTCTTGATCTCAACTCAGGTCTTTATCTCAAGGTCATGAGCTCAAGCCCTGCACTGGGCTCCACAATGGGTGTGGAGCCTACTTAAAAAAAATAAAAATAAAATTGCATTTTTAGATTCTCACAGTCATTAAAAGATTTCAATCCAGGTAAAATCTCTGAAAACATAATGAATCTCAGCAAAACTTAAATAAACACAGCTCTTAAGGGGAGCCTGGGTGGCTCAGTGCGTCTGGCTCTTGGTTTTGGCTCAGGTCATGATCTCGAGGCTGCCAGATTGAGCCCCGCCTTGGGCTCTGTGCTCAGTGCAGAGTCGGCTTCAGATTCTCTCTCCCTCTCTCTCTCTCAAATAAATAAAAACTTAAAATTAAAAAAAAAAAACCAGCTCCTAATTCACAGGTCATTAATCTTCCCTTCCAATAGCCTCTTGCTTCAAAGTATATTACTCTCAGCCAATTATTTCTAAAAAGGTGCTGAGAATTTCCGATGGAGTAAAATGTAAAACATAACTAAATACAATTTTAACTTCAGTACAATTATATTTAAAGCTTTAAAGGAGAGAGAGTAGCCACAAAGAGATTCATTTCCCAAACAAAGCAAATAATAACAAAAGTTTTCTTCAAAGCACTGCAGGAGTTTCCACATTACAACTACATGGAAAAAGCAATCACTGGAGAATTTATAAAACGCTGAGACAGATGACAGCAGCAGTCAGTGTGGCACATTTTGAAGGCGTCTGTACAGGTAACATGCACGATGTGGGTAGCAAGAAGAGAAAAGGTAAGTGCACACCAGTGTGAAAACCTTCAACTAGCTTGTTGGTGGCATATCTCAAAGTAGCAAGGCTCTAAATCAATCAAGGAGAAAGAAAGCACACTGGTGATCTATATCTCACAGAGAAGAAAGCATCTGAACATGTAACTCAGAAATCTTACATGGCATGAAAAAAAGAATACAATGGGAAGAAAATTATGAGCGTTTTTAAATATCAGAGACTGTCAACGAGCAGGAAGTAAAAAAATCTCACCTGGATGATTATGGCAGGTACTGGACGTTGTGATCCAATATCCACTTTCCCCTTCTTCCCAGTAACAGCTAAGTGCATGCCAGAATAAAGACTGCATTTCCCAGCCTCTCCTGCAGCTCGGCCATGTGACTGAGTTTAAGCCAACTGGACAATAATAGTAAAAGTATTAAGTCTGAGTTCCAGGAAATGTCCTTAAAGAAATTGTGTACATTATTCTCTGGACCCTCATCTTTCCTGCTGGCTGGAACATGGATGAGGTGCTGGAGTGCAACCAGACATGTTAGATTATGAGAAAGAAGCCACATGTTGAGAAGGGCAAGGCAACAAAAACAGAAAGAAAATGGCTCCCTGACATTACAGAGCACCGCAACAGCCCTGGGCTACCCACCTCTGGACCCCTTTTACAAGAAAAAAATAAACTTGTACCATGTTTAAAACCACTATTATTTTACTTTTGGGGGGGTCACAAATGGTTGGATATAATCCTAATACAGAATTTGGTGCTATGAGTAAGATGCTTCATGAGAAACAATGTAACATATGTGGCACTGCTTAATAAAACAGTAAGTGGTGAGCACTCACAACTGAAGACTGAAAAGCTAGTGATCATTGTTACGCAATAGCAAAACACCTAAACCATTGCCCGATTATACTGGGATGCTACTATTTTAAGGGAAACAGTAGGAAAAATTCAGAATGTCCTATGTGTTGCCTGCTTCTAGTAACTTTCAAGAAAATTATACCAGAGATGGGGCACCTGGGTGGCTCAGTTGGTTAAGCAGCTGCCTTCAGCTCAGATCATGATCCCAGGGTCCTGGGATGGAGCCCCACATTGGGCTCCCTGTTCAGCAGGGAGCCTGCTTCTCCTTCTCCCTCTGCGGCTCCCCCTGCTTGTGCTCTCTCTCTCTCTAATAAATAAATAAAATCTTACAAAAAAAAAGAAAGAAAGAAAGAAAGAAAGAAAGAAAGAAAGAAAGAAAGAGAACTGCTTTAAAAAGAAAAAAAAATTTATACCGGAGGGGTAAAACTCAGACTAGAGCTAAACTCATATAAACAACTTAACCTTACACCTAAAGGAGCTAGAAAAAGAACAAACAAAACCCAAACCCAGCAAAAGGAAGGAAATAATAAAAATCAGAGCAGAAATAAATGATATAGAAACTAAAAAACAATAGAACAGATCAATGAAACCAGGAGCTAGTTCTTTGAAAAGATCAACAAAATTAATAAACATCTAGCTAGATTCATCAAAAAAAAAAAAAAAAGAGGACCCAAATGAAGAAAATCACTAATGAGAGAGGAGAAATAACAGCCAACACCACAGAAACACAAACCATCGTAAAAGAATATCATGAAAACCTATATGCCAACAAACTGGACAACTTAGAAGAAATGGATAAATTCCTGTAAACATATCAACTACCAAAACTAAAGCAGGAAGAAATAGAAAATGTGAACAGACCGATTACCAGCAATGAAATTGAATCAATACTCAAAAACTCCCCAAAACCAAAGTCCAGGACCAGATGGCTTCCCAGGTATATTCACCAAATATTTAAAGAGTTAAGGGCGCCTGGGTGGCTCAGTTGGTTAAGCCGACTGCTTTCGGCTCAGGTCATGATCCCGGAGTCCTGAGATCGAGTCCCGCATCGGGTTCCCAGCCCAGCGGGGAGCCTGCTTCTCCCACTGATCCTCTCCCCTCTCATGCTGTTTCTCTCTCTCTCAAATAAAAATAAAATCTTTAAAAAAAAAAAAAGTCTTAAAAAAAAAAAAGAAGAGTTAATACCTGCTCTCAAACTATTCCAAAAAACAGAAGAGGAAGGAAAACACCCAAATTCATGAGGCCAGTTATCACCCTGATACCATAACCAGATAAAGCCTCCACAGAAAAGGAGAACTACAGGCCAATACCTCTCATGAATATAGATGCAAAAATCTTCACCAAAATATTAGCAAATAGAATCCAATAATACATTAAAAAAAAAATCATACATCATGATCAAGTATGTTCACAGCCTTTAAATGGCAGAGCTCCAGTCTCATTTCCATTTGGCAGCCACTGCACTTTGGAGTGCAGTGGTTCACTTTTTCTACTCTATAAGGCTTCAAAGGAAGAAGCTTTTAGTCAACTTAGGTTGCAGGCCACAAGAAAGAGATGTATTAGCAAAGATGTATTCCTTTATATCTCTGCTTACTGACTGATTAGTTCTAGTCTGAGTTTTACCTCTTCAGTACAATTTTGTAGTAAAACTTACTAGAAGCAGACAACACATACAACATTCTGAATTTTTCCTACTGTTTCCCTTAAAATAGTAGCATTCCAGTATAATCAGGCAATGGTTTAACCAGGTGTTTTGCCACTGCATAACAATGATGAGTAGCTTTTCAGCCTTCATTTCTGAGTGCTCACCCCTTACCACTTTATTAAGCAATGCCACATATGGATGGGGGGATGGGTGATACACGTGATAGGGATAAAAAAGAAAAAAGATGAAATAAAGGCTATGAACCTAATCACCAAAACAAAAGTGTGGGGGGAGGGGGTTCCTTAGGGTGGCCTTCTCACAAAAGCCAACTGTTTCAGATAGTCTCACTGTAATTGCCATTAAGCTAAAGTGGAGTAGAAATGTGTGAGGCGTGGAGGCAAATAAATACCAGAGGCTTAAAAACAATGCTTAATTCAGAAATTTATTCCTCTGCCAGGACAGAAAGTCTTCAAATTTCCTATACAGTAACATTTAATAATTGCTATGGACTTTTATATATATATATATATTTTTTTTAAAGATTTTATTTATTTATTTGACAGAGAGAGACATAGCGAGAGCAGGAACACAAGCAGGGGGAGTGGGAGAGGAAGAAGCAGGCTTCCCGCAGAGCAGGGAGCCCAATGCGGGGCTCGATCCCAGGACCCTGGGATCATGACCTGAGCCGAAGGCAGATGCTTAATGACTGAGCCACCCAGGCGCCTGACTTTTATATATTATCAATGCTCTCCTTTTCTGCATAGTTTTTTATTGCTGTTATTCTATTTCTATTACACCTATTGTACACTAATTGCTTTGTGAATAGTTATCTTGGGAGAAGACTGCACATTACTCAGACATCCTGGGCTTTGAGCTGAATGCAGTAACGAAATGAAATACTGGAGTAGTCTCTCTTGAGATGAGGTGAATGTGTCATGTGTGTATAAACAAGGGTAGGCATGTATATTAGAACAACCAAAGGGGTAGACTATAGTAAAAAAATAAAATGCTAATTATATCCCCAAACCCATTCTTCTTTTCTTTCTAATTAATAAAAAACTCAGGCAAAAGGCAACCCAAATTAATGACCACAATTCCTAGACTCCCTTGAAACGAGGAGTAATCATAAGGTAACATTCTGGCCAATGGGCTATAAGGAAAAGTATCATATACAACCTCTAGGAAGTATAGCTAAAAGGGGTAAGCATGTCTGCAGCCCTTTTTCCTTCATGCTACCTGGAATAGAGACTATATGGCTGGAGCTTGAGTGGCCATTTCAGATTTTAAGGTAGAAAATGCATGTTGGAAAAAAAATGCATGCTGATGATAGCAAAAGAAATTATCCCTGAGGAAGCCCAAACTTTGGATTTACAACTATTACAAAGATCTTAATCATTTCAAATATGTTCAAAGAGCTAAAGAAAACCATGCCAAAAGAACTAAAGTAAGGGAATGACATCTCATCAAATAGAGAATACCAATAAAAATATAGAAATTATTTTTTTAAAAAAAGGAACCAAACAGAAATTCTGAAAAAGCAGAATAACTGAAATGAAATACTCACTAGAGGAGTTCAAGCAGATTTGAGCACACATATTTAAAAAAAACAACAGCAGTGAACTTGAAAATCAATCATTTGAGGTTACCCAATCTGAGGAAATGCAAGAAAAGACTAAAGAAAAATGATAGTGTTCCTCAGAGATCTATGGGACACCACCAAGCATACCAACATATGCATAATGGGAGTCCCAGAGGAAAAGGGGAAAAAGAAAGGGCAAAAATAACATTTGAAAAAATAACAGTTGAAAACTTCTCAAAACTTCTTTAATGAAAAACATTACACATTCAAAAAGGTGAATAAATTCCATGTGGGGTAAACTAAAAGAGATCACACATACACATATCATAATCAAACTATAGAAAGACAAGAATGAAATCTTGAAAGCAACAAGAAAAAAGAGAATCATCAATGTACAAAGGATTCTAAATATATTTAACAGCCTATTTCTCATCAGAAACCAGAGAAGCCAGAAGGCAGTGGGATGACATATTTAAAGTCTTGAAAAAAAACAGCCTGTCAATCAAGGATTCTATATCAAGCAAAACTATCCTTCAAAAATGAAGGAAAAATGAAGACGTTCTGAGAAAAACAAAATTGAGACAATTTGTAGCTTGCAGACCTACCTTACAATAAATACTAAAAGTGTTTAAGACACTAAAGAGTAACTCAAATCCACATGAAGAAATAAAGAGCACTGATAAAGGCAACTACATAAATAGAATAGACAATATAAGTTATTTTTTTCTTTCCCCTGTCTGAAAAGACAACTGCATAAAGAATTATAAATCTGGGTTGATTAGCACATAATGTATAAAGATATAATCCGTGTCAATAACAGCAAAAGGAAGGAGGAGAACAGAGCTATACAGGAGCAAAGTTGTTTTTGTATACTACTGAAATTAAGCTGGTATTAATCCCAACCAGAGTGTTACACTATGTAAATGACAGAGTTCCACTTCTGAGATCTTAGCATAAGGGGCTCCCTGGACACAATCCCCCTGGAAAACAAGCAAAGCTGTTGAAAACTTTTTTTTTTTTTTTAATTTAAGTCTCTGGAGGGGTACCTGGGTGGCACAGACATTGGGCATCTGCCTTCGGCTCAGGTCATGATCCTAGGGTCCTGGGACTGAGCCCTGCATAGGGCTCCCTGCTCAGCGGGAGGCCTGCTTCTCCCTCTCCCACTCCCCCTGCTTGTGTTCCCTCTCTCGCTGTGTCTCTCTCTGTCAAATAAATAAATAAAATCTTAAAAAAAAAAATTAAGTCTCTGGAAA